GGCTGCACGGGGCTCTACCAGGCGGGGGATGGATCATGCGTACCACACTGTATCTCGGAGTTGCCCAGAGCTGCCTACTCTTGGGTCTTCTTTGATTGCGAAGGCCACCAGAAGTACGTCGCGCGTGGAGTGGTGTGGCCCTCATTGCCCCAGACTAGCCAGGCCGCGGAGCAGTTGCAGCTAGCCCTGTTGCCCATTTTCGTGCCGGGGCTGTCCTCTCAGTGTTAAAGCGATTGTATGAATGCGGTCAGACTCCGCAACAAGGGACCCAGCGAGCAGACCTCCCCGAAGCAAAGGCATGGAGGTCTCAGGCGAGGCGCCCAGGCCCACATGTGTGAAAATAAGTTTGCCCCAGCTGTTCACACGCCTGCGCGCCGCAAGCGGGAAGTGATAGATGAGCTGGCGCTACCAGGGCGCAGGGTTGGCCAGGCCAACTGGCGAGCATATCTAGAGGCCAGGAAGGCCATCGAGCTGCATGCACGGCCTTCGGAGGCCGACGTTTTTCAAGTTGATTGGGCCATTGACCAGATGCGCAAGTGCGCGCGGCTGATGGCGAGCGTGCTGCCGCTGTTTCCGCGTGCGTCTCACCAGCGGCCGCTTCGACGTGGGAGACCCACGAAGATTTGCGACAAGGCCACGTCGTGGCACGCATGGCAGCGAAGCCTCTGGGGATTTCGTTGCACTAAGTGTCTGGTCTTCTTCGGAGGACGGCAACATGAGCGACCCGAGCTCGGTTGCGAAGGGTTCCCTGAGAGAGTGGCCGAGCTCCTCGTCTCGGCCCCCGATCATGGACACAGGCTGGCGAGCACCCAGGTTGGAGAGGAGCCCAACCCTCTGTTTTTCTGCTTCGCCTGTGGTGCGTACTCCCAGCACAAGATTCGCAGTTTGGCCACCCGCTGCCAGCCAGGTAGCATCCGAAGCGGGGGCCAAGTTTTGTCTCGACTGCGCAGAGGACTTCATCCTTTGCGCAGCGTGCCAGTCTCCTGCGCTGAACCTGAAGAACAGGTTGCGAGGCAGGAGGCGGACGTTGTCTTGCAGATGGCGCGCCGAGGCGAAGTGGCGGCCTCTGCTACGCTTCTGCCCTGCCTGGACGCCATTCGTGCCCGCATAGCGGCACGAGAGGCAGCGAGCAGGGCGGTGTGAACTGTCGCACTGTCATAAATGGTAGGTCAACGGTGACCCCCCCCAAAAAAGTAAGCGCCTTGCCGCGCTGGCGGCCTACGTAAGCTGCAGCGCAAGGTCGCTATGCCGCTATGCCACTTCGCGCATGACCCGTTTCTGATCGTTTCTCTGAAGGGGCCTTGAGGCACACAAGTAAATACACACAAATAAAAGGATTCCCCATATTTCCCTATATTGTCTGGCTTTCTGTCTCCCCCCCCCACTTCCCATATTTGTTTTCATTTGTTCAAAAGGAATCGACGATTAGTTGTGTCTGTGTGTTTTTTCCCCTCCTGATTCTCAAAGGGTGTTCCCATTGCAGCGCGACCCTGATCTCAGGAGTGGCGCTATGCTCCTGCCGTTCAGTACGGCGGTCTCGCCACAGCGCGGGCCACTTTTCTGGGTCCGTGCCCTTCGAATCGTTCTTGCCCCGGTCTTCTCCCCCTTGTCCGCCTATTCCTTGCTCCTGTTGTTCCTCCCACTTCTCCCACTCCTGCTCTTGCTGCTGTTGTTCCTCCCCGGCCTCCCCCTCCTGCTGCTTTTCCTCCTCATCATTTTTCTCCTCCGCCTCCTCCTCCTCCTCGTTCCTCCTCCTCCTCGTCCTCCTCCTCCTCCTCTTCCTCCTCGTCCTCCTCCTCCTCCTCCTCCTCCTCCTCTTGCTTCCGCATCCTCATATTTTGGTCTTGGGCTCAGAGTGCGAGGGCGCGGCGGCGCCAGCAGCGGCGCAGGCAGTGACGAGGTGGCGGCGGCGGCAGGAGCCAGGCGCACGCAGGGTTGACCGGCGCAGCCCCTGCTCGAGGGCGGAGACACACATCTCCGAACCCGATGCCTCGCGGGCGGGGCCCCTGGGCCGCAACCCCACGGGAGCCTTGAGACGGGGGTCAATGCAGACGTGTGGGTTATAGGGGAACGAACAACGTACAGTGAGCGGCTTGAATAAGGAACATTTCCTTTTCAAAAGGGGCTCGGTCGTTCCTTAGGCTTTCATGCGTTATTCATCATTTCTTCATGCGTTATTTGTTCTATATCGTTCCTTCTGCGTTACTCCTTTGAAAAATAGGGGGTTTCGTTCCTTATTTATCGCTCCTTGGGTCAGGCCGATGACTGTAAACATCAGAACTCGGAGGTCCGCGCGAAGTTCTCGGATCGGCGCTGGGGCCCCCTAGCGGCGCCTCCGGGGCCCAGCGCCGATCCGAGGAGTCCGCGCGGGCCTCCGAGGTTTCACGGTTACGTCATTGATCCTGCAACGCCAGGGTTGCATTGACCCAGGCCAGCGCGCAGGATCTTGCAAGATTCTGCAGGATTCTGCATGACTTTGCAAAGCCCGACAGACCCGGGTTTGCATTGACCCCAGTGAGTGCGTCTTCGAGCGGATACGGACCGTTTTTTCATGGATGCCCCGCGCTGATCCCCGTACGACCGCGTATCCGCGGGATCGCGCCCTGGAATCCAGACCGCGAGCGCGCGAGGCGTGCCTCCATTGAAACAACACATGTAGAACCCCCCCAATCCCGAAAGAAGGGTTTTCCTTCCTGGTGGCCGGGTGCCCGCTCTGAGCACGGTCGCGGTCGTGATTCAAGGACGGAGAACAACCACACAGACCCCCAGATTTGACGTTTATTAAGCAGCCCTGCCATGTTCGATTCTTGCCGTGGGTGCGTTTACCAAGCGGCGTCGCTTGTCGAGGTGCTTACTATGGGGCTGCTTTGTCGGTCCCCTGGCGATGCGCCTCTGTTGTGCCCTGACTCCGCCGCAGAGCGCCCGATTTCGAACGATACTGTATGCGCGCCCGCTTTGTCTTTTCTCGTGAGTCACGCGCTGGCATTCCTCCCTCCTGCCTCCTCCCTCCTCCGTCCGCGTCCCCTTCTTCCCCTTCCGTAGGATTAACAGATTGCGGCAAGGCCAGCACCCCACCCAAACCAGTCCATTTGGACCGTGTGCCCTTTGGGCTACATAGCGTTACCCTGCAGCACAGTCTGGCTCGGGGACGGCCCGTAGTGACGCCGTCGTGTCGGGTAGGGTCGCGTACAGGCACGTCACCATTCCGAATCGCTCCTCATCCTCCTCCTGCTCTCCTCCTCCTCCTCCTCCTCCACCTCTTCCTCCTCCTCCTCCCCCTCCCCCTCTCCTCCTCCCTCCTCCCCTCTGGTCTCCCCCCACCCCCTTCCCCTCCCCCCTTGGGTGGCTCCCTGCCTTTTCTTCTCGCCGGCCCGAGGAGGAAATATGCGGCTGCCTTCCCGCTGCTAGGACCACCATGTCGCGCAATGGGGGCATGAAGGACGCTCCGAGCGCTTGGCCCCGAGGCGGAAGTCAATGTACAGTGCCGTTTTCAATACATGCTCCGCGTACGGATCATGTATTAAACATGCAGGGATTTAGCATTAAACATAACGATGAGTTCATGGATTTAATTATTAATAACGTAGTCATGTACTAAACATCACAAATCTTTAACATTCCAATGTATTAAACACTGCCCTGTAGCAGAACGTGTGAGACGCCCACGCAGGGGTGCAGCACACGCAGCAAGAGTCAGACTGCATGCACCCCCGAGCGCAAAGGCCGAGCCGAGTCGAGCCCTCCTCCCCTCCTCGGGCCCCCCCCTTTCTCGGATCCTCGACTGTCCGCCTCCAGCGCCCCGACGCCCTCGAGGCACTCCCGCGTCCAGGGGCTGCTCGGCACGCCGCCTGGAGGCGTGCAGGCGCTTCTGTGACCCACGGGCGGGGGAGGCAGGAGGGAGGAGAGATCTCAGCATCTCGTAGCCGATCCCCATCCAACAGCGGCCTGCCTCGGCCCCATCGGCCCGCTTTGATGTCGATCTCAGAGTACGATTCGGTTCGATCTCGGTATTCCGTCGATCCCATGCGGCCCGATGATTGCGCGGTGCGGTTGTGCATTCGACGCCGACTCTGCGCCGAGAATTACGGCCCGATTCGATGCACGATTCGAGTCGAATCGTTTTGCCGATTCGATGTTGAATGATCGTGGCACCTCTGACTGCGCCATGGTAGCTCAGCCCCACCAGCCCACCGTGCCAGAGGAGGATGGGCCTCGAGACCCGAAGGGAATAGCATACATCCCCACCTAGAAGGAATTAGTCGGCCAATGGGGCCACTGCCTGTTGAACGATGCTCGAGATTGTTCCACGTAGATTGGGCCACGTAGTTTGTACCTCATGGTTTGCACCAAATGTAGTACACATCTGGAGTGTAATGATGCATTGTTCGGGGTTCACGCTAGCAAGATCTTCTTCCTCTCCTCCCACCTCCCCCAGCCTTCACCTCCTTTTTCCCCTCATCCTCGTCCTCCTTCCCCCTCTCTTCTTCCCGCCTCGCTGAGAAATCAATGCCCCACGAGGCCCAGATCAGGCCCCAAAGCGTCTCATCAACTGGACCCCTGATCCTCGGACCCATGCCCTCCCGACTCCTCTCTCCCTCCAAGAATTCTCTGGAGGCCTGCAGAGGCACTGAACGGCGCACAACAACAACAAATAAAGGATACATCGTCTAACTTCGATCCTCCTCGTCCGCCTCCCTCCGCCAGTCCTCGCTCGCACGAACGACCGTGCGAGGGCAGGCGCCCCCCTCCGACCTGCTGGCACTGCCGGCGGCTACTGGAGGAGCACGAGCATCTTCCCCTCCCTCTCCTCCCCCCCTTCCCTTGGCGTCGCTCGGACGTGTGCATTTTTCCTCTGGCGAGGACCATTGAGGAGCATCCCTGATCATTTGGCGAGAAAGCCACGCACGAAACCGAAACAAACACAGGGAGTGGACGTCCGAGCGATGCCCAGTTCCTCTTTGCCCCCCCGCCATCCCTCCTCCGCTCTCCTGCCCGCCGAGCCCGCGCGGCTCGAGAGCCCGCACCGGCGCCCCCTCTCCGCGGCCGGGGCGCGCTCGCCAGCGGTGGGCAGGGGGGGCGGCGCTGGAGGGATCGTGTCCGCACGGTGGTCAGGAGGGGGAAAAAGCACACAGGCACAATTCATCGTCCCCTCCCAGGAAGATATGGGGAAATATGGGAAGTGGTGGGGAAGACAAAGCTCCCAAAAGATCGGGGGAAACATGGAGAATCCTGTTAGTTGTGTCTATGTGCCTGTGTGTCCCAGGGCCCCTTCAGGTGGGCCTGCCGAGACACGGAGCAGGATCTCGTTGCGTGCTGTTCGACCCCGAGCCAAACGTCTGGGTCGGTTTTGGGGTCGCCACCACGCGCAGAGGGGGGGGGGGTAGGGGGAGGGGGGAAGGCTTCCAAGAAGGAGACTGCTTCTTAGGAGGCGCGGGCCGTGTCTAAAGATGTGAGGCCGGCGCCTTCTAAGAAGCAGACCCCTTCTAAGACGCCTTCCTCCCTCCCCCTACCCAGTTGTGGGGGCCGCCAAATGTCGCCGCGGCGATCTCGGCGGCCACCAATCGGGGCAAGGGTTTGTCAAAGAGTGGCATCCCCTTCACTGCCCCACCCGCCCACTGTGATGTAGACGTGGCTCGCATTTTGACAACTCAGTGGCAGGGAGTCGCGCGTGTATGTCCAACATCGGCAGTCCTATGTGTTTGATCGTCACGCAGCCAGCTCCGAAGAGCAGGGCTCGAGGATTCCCATACCTCGGCGCGGCTGTTTTTAGGTTCGCTCGCGGCGTCCTGATTCCGCTTCGGCGCCCACGAGAGTCAGGAGGGAAAGAAACACACAGACACAATTAATCGTCGATTCCCCAGAAAATATGGGAAAACATGCGAAGTGGGCGGGAAGACAGAAACTAAGAAACTATGGGAAAATATAGGGAATCGTTTTATTTGTGTGTATTTATTTGTGTGTCCTGGGGCCCCTTCAGAGAGGTTCAGCTTGGCCTCGCGGGGCAGGCTCGCAGGAGCCCTGGCGGCGGGCGGCGATGTCTCCTAGGGCCTGCCGATCGAGCACGTCACGTCGTCGGATGGCGGGGTATTCAGGACTGGTGTATCGCGAGGATCAAGACTATTGACTTGGCGTCGCTCGGACGTGTGCATGTTTCCTTCGGCGAGGGCCATCGAGGAGCATCCCTGCTCATTGGGGGGAAAAAAAACGCGCACGAAACCGAAACAAAGCACAGGGAATGGACGTCCGAGCGATGGCGAGTGGCGGGGTATTCAGGACTGGTGTACCGCGAGGATCAAGACTATTGTTAAGTCGGGCGTGTCCTCCTACAGGGGGATCTTCGACGAAAAACAAAAGATACCCCAAACATGCCTCAAGAAGGCCAACAAAATACTCAAAACATAGTCCCCAGACTATTTTTGGACTATTTTTTGAATATTTTTGGGGTATTTTTTTATCGGAAATCCCTCAGTAGGGGGACAGGCCCGACTTAAGACTATTGGTTACTTGTGGACCTCCTGCGCCAACGCGGCGCGCCTCGGCCCGCGGCGGCGGCGACGGGATGCCCCTGGGGCCGTCGTTGGCGGTCGAAATCCCAGATGCAATTTGAGGAACCTCGATGGTTTTTGCCTCCCCAGGCTCTCCTGGATGACCTCTTGGAGCCCTCTTGAGCCGTCTTGGGAGCCTCTCGGGCCATCTTGAGGCCGTCTTCAGAGCCTCCCGAGCCGCCTTGCGCCGTCTAGAGCCGTTTTGTCGTCGTCTTGGCTGTCAGAAGCTGTCCTGGAGGCCATCTGTGCCGTTTGGAGGACGAAAAGACCGCCGGAAAACAATTTCCGAAGGGACGATGTTCGAACTATGCGTGGGCGAGGGTGAGGGGTCGGCCCCATTAGACACTTCTTCCAGGCAGCAGACGAGCAGACGAGCATTCTATCGCGCCCTCTCCGTGTGGGCACAGTGGTGGATTCGGGGCCCCTTTCTGGCCCGCGAGATCGTTTCTGTTACCCTCTGGCGGGTAACGCTCGTTGCGCATGCCACCCCCATCCCTCGGGTAACGGAAACGGTCGTACCAGGGGGTGGCCTGGAGACCCCCCCCCACAAGCTGCACACAGGTATATTGCGGCTCTCGCGTGGTATCGTGGTACATTCAGGCTTGCTGGTGGTGCCGGAGCACGAGTTCTGCTGCTCGCCCTGTTTTGCGATTGTGACAGGCTCGTGCGTACTGTTGTGCATGCGCGTCGTGCTCGCATGCGTTGGGGTGTTCGCTTGCACGCTGCGGCGCTCGCCGGTGTATCTGATGTTGGCGAGAGAGGGAAGGGCAAGAGGAGGAGGACGGCGACGAAGAAGGAACACGAGGGAGGTAAGGAACAGCCCGTATGAGAGAAGTGTCCGACTCGCACAAGAAGCTGCAAACGCTTTTGCGGTTTCTATCCTGTCGCCGCCGCGGCCGCCGCCGCCGCCGTCGTCGACCTCTTCTTTCGTCCTAGTCGCTGCCGCCCCGACCGTCGTCTTCGACGTCGGCGTCGTCGTCATCGTCGTCGTCGTCGTTGGTCGTCATTGGTCGTCGTCGTGGCCGGTCGTTGCCATCAGTCGTCGTCCTCGTTCTCGTTGTCGTCCTCGTCTGTCGTCCTCGTCGTCGTCTATCCTCGTCTGTCTTCTTCGTCGTCGTCGTCCTCGTTGTCCTCGTCCCCTTGTTTGGTCGCCCTGCGCGCCCTGGTCACTGCCGCCGCCCGCCTGCTCTATGACTTCATTTCTGGGCTGTTCCTCGCTTCATCGCCAGGGAAGCTGCCGATGGTCGAGGTGTTCCGTGGTCACAAAGTCCCTTCGTCCTTTATTTGAGGCTACTTGTCGCCAGTCTACACTCGCAGCCTCCCCCCGCCGCCTTGGGAAAACGGGGGGGGGGGATAGGGTTGGGGGACGAAAAGGAAGAGGAGGAGGAGGAGGAGGTGTAGGAGGAAAGGATCAGGAGGAGGAGGAGGAGGAGGAAACGAAACAAAAGCACGGTGATGATAATGCTGCTGCTGGTGATGATGATGATGATGGTCAGTATGATGACGATGAGGAGGAGGAGGAGGAAGGTGACGAGGCTGAGGAGGGAGAGGAGGAAAAAGGAAACGAGGAGATGGAGAGGAGGAGCACGACGACGACGATCCCGTTCACGACGATTTCGCCGACGACGACGACGGTAACGACGTTGACGACGGCGGCGACGACGACGACGACGACGAGGCTGACGACGACGACGACGACGACGGCGTTTCCGACGGTGACGTTTCCAACGACGATTCCGATGACGGCATATTCGAGGACGAAGACGCTGGCGATTCCGACGACGTTTGTGACGATTTCGACGGCGATTTTGAGTTTGAAGACGACGGCGACGACGACGGCGTCGGCGACGACTTCGACGACGTCGTTCGCGGGCCATTGTGGTGTTCTTGCGTGCCGCGGCGGTGTTCTTGCGTGCCGCGGCGGTGTTCTCTGGTGTTCGCAGGCTACCGCTGTGTTCGCAGACCGTTGCCCGCCAGATTGGCACACGAATCCACCAACTAAACGATCAGTAATGCAGTTCTGCAGGCGGCAAACATGAATGCATCTCCGCCCCGCGTGATTCGTGCCGTTGCGATCGCGAGGGATTCGTACCGTGTTCACGGCATGTAACAGGGCCCGCCAAGCACATGGCATGCCGCTGGCAAGCGAGTCGTTTCCACGCAAATGGTTCCAATCTCCGTCGTCCACAAACATCAAGCAGTGGCGATGCGTTTTGGCTTGCATGCAGGCACACCAACATATGTATTAAAAACAGCTTGCGATTTGCACGGCAAGCTATTCGAGTATGTATGGTTGATTGCGCGTTGTTTATTACATTTGTATTATGTTTTAAGAACATTGTTGGTATTCGCGTTTTTTGGGGTTTAAAGATCATGTCGTGGTAAACCTATAGGAATGTTGGGACGTTCGGTCCCTACCCGGAACAATGAAAGTGGGCATTCAGGATGTTTCAAGCGCCCGGCCAAGACATGGGCAGAGGCAACGCCTCGTGTTTTGCCGTTGCATTTCTGACGTGCCCGCCCGCAAACCACGCTTCTTGCGCTGCCGACGCTCTCCAGCGCGCCAGCGTCGCGCGAACTTGCGGCCGTGACGGCCCGCTTGGTTTGCGCGTGCGCGCGTGTGTGTATGTGCCCTTGGGGTCGGACGAGAAGGTTTGCGCCAACCACGCGCAGAGGGGGGAGGGGCAATGTTTTTTCAGGAAACATCTCTGCATATTAGAAGGCGCGGGTTTCGTCCATAGATGTAGTACCGGCCCCCTCCAAGAAACATCCTCCTTCTAAGGAGCGTTCACCCCCTACCTCTTTGTGCGCGCCGCCTTCCTATTTCCTCCCCCCCTTCCTCTCTACTTTTCCGGCCTCAGTTTCTCTTCGTGCCTCGGGTGTCCCATTGTACCTCGATTCCGAAACAGCAGTTGCACGACCTGACCCATCGCGTGTTGCGCAGTCGGAAAATTCAGATTACGTTCTCTGAAAGGGGAGGAGGCGGCGGATGAGCCGGCCTCATTCTCGCATTTTCTTCTTCCTTCTCGTCCCACTTCTCCCTTTCTTGTTTATCCTCCTCTCCTTCTCCTCCTCCTCTTCCTCCGTCATATTTGTCCATCTATTTTTTTTTCCTTCTGCCAAAACAAGAGCGACACAGACGTCGACAAAGACGTCGACAAAAACGTCGGCAAGGACAGAGACACAGACAGAGACAAAGACAAAGACAATGACAGAGACAGAGACAGAGACAAAGACAAAGACAACAACAAAGACAAAAACAAAGACAAAGACGGCGGCGGCGGCGGCGGCCGCCGCCTGCCGACACGGCGAGGTGGCCCCGCGCCATGGCGCCCCGCGGCAGGGCCGGGGCGGGGCGCAAGGCCGCGCTGCTGGCGCTCGCCGCGCCTGCGGCGCTGCGGGCCTGGCTGCGGGAGCCGGCCGGCGCGACGGCCGACCTGGCCCCCACCCGGGGGGGGGGGGGGGGGGGGAAAAACGACGCGGAGATCGGGACAAAATCGGATCGGGATAATTCGAAATCTCTGAGAATCGGCGGGTTTGGAGGATGTCTTCGGCGCCGCGGCCGCTCCAGAGCGTTCCGGAACGCTCTGAGAGCGCTCCGGAACGCTCTGGAGCGATTTATCCGATCCTAGCCCTGTTTTAGGGGGGGGGGGGCAGACCCTGACCTTCCAGGAGGGCAACAAAAATAGCACGCGACTTAAAAACTTATCCCAAAGCTATTGCACGTCTTGTTTTTAGGCTGTTTCGCTCCGTTTTTTAGTTTTTTAGGCCTCCAGTGCTAAAACATAGCTCTCTGGAAGGTCAGGGGGGGGGGCAGAGCTCCGACGATGTGGCTTTTGCCAATGCGGGCCGATGTTTTCTGCCTCGCTGTCGGCCTCTCGGGGGGGGCGCTGGTGTGCCCGGGCCCAGGAGAGCATGGAAGCATGGAGATGGGGCGCCCAGGGACGGGGTCGGGGACTCCAGGACCGCGGATTGGACAAATCATATCGGAGGGGGTCCACGGCGAGGGTCAGGGGCGACGTCAGGGGGTCTGAGAGGCTCTTACTCCTCCTACTCCTCGTGCTACTCCTCCTCCTCCTCGTCCTCCTCCTCTTCCTCTTCTTCCTCCTCTTCGTCCTCCTCCTCCTCCTCCTCCTCCTCCTCCTCCTCCTCCTCCTCCTCTCACTGGGGGAGGTTCGAGGTCATCGGACGTTTGAGTCGGGTCTCGGCGGTTTCCAGCCTGGCTGCGGGAGCCCGCGGGCGCGCTGGCCGACTAGGCCTCCCGGGGGGTCCAGTGGTGACCGTAAGTGTCCGTTGACAGCAGGTATTGTTGGAATTCCCAGGTCCAGTCTACTTGGAGTGCCTTCCTACTTCAAGAGTTGCTGTGTTGTTGCTGTCGTTTGTGAATTCCTTGGGTGGGCCGGAACCCAATCTACTTTGTCCGTCTTCCTGCTTCATGTGTTCACCTACTTCTTCCGACTGGCTGGTAGGGGTCGGAGAGTTTCAAGGTTCGAGGTGTCCAGGTCCAGGCGTCGCAAGTTTTAACGCTGAGTGTATTCGCCCGTTTTCGGGCCCCGGGACCATCACAGATAAGTCCGGCTCGAAACATGCCGCAGGAAGATGGGGTCCAGAGCTCCGGTCGTGATTTCTGACGACGTCGCATTGTTGGCAGCGTCGGAGCTCAAGCGGGGGAGGCTCGAAGTTGCAGGTTTTCGGAAGCTTTCGTCGCTTTTCAGGGATGTGCTCTGAGGTTTATGTCGGGCGTGTCCCCCTACAAGGGGATTTTCGGCGAAAAATGAAAACCCTAAACCCTAAGAAGGTCAAAACATATTCAATTATCCTGGCGACGGACCCAACCATATGCAATTGTGAGTACCGCAATTGTGAATATCTTCTTCGGTGGAGCCCCCTATGGGGCCACGAAACGTGCGAGGGGTGTGCCGAAATGGGTGTGCGGGACGCATGCGGGCACACCCACTGCGGCCTTCGGTGGAGCTCCCTATGGGGCCACGAAACGTGTGAGGGGTCACGAAACGCGTGAGGGGTGTGCCGAAATGGGTGTGCGGGACGCATGCGGGCACACCCACTGGGGCCTTCGGCGGAGCCCCCTATGGGGCCACGAAACGTGTGAAGGGTATGCCGCAATGGGTGTGCGGGACGCATGCGGGCACACCCACTGGGGCCTTCGGCGGGGCTCCCTATGGGGCCACGAAGCGCGTGAGGGGTGTGCCGAAATGGGTGTGCGGGACGCATGCGGGCGGCAGCACTGGGGCCTTCGGTGGAGCTCCCTATGGGGCCACGAAACGTGTGAGGGGTGTGCCGAAATGAATGTGCGGGACGCATGCGGGCACACCCACCGGGACCTTCGGTGGAGCTCCCTTTGGGGCCACGAAACGTATGAGTGGTGTGCCGAATTGGGTGCGGGTGGTGACGCATGCGGGCGGTGCCACTGGGGCCTTCGGTGGGGCTCCTTATGGGGCCACGAAACCTGTTCTTGTGAGGGGTGTGCCGGGATGGGTGGCGGGGACGCATGTGAGCGCGGCCGCTGGGGTTTTCGGTGGAGCTCCCTATGGGGCCACGAAGCGTGTGAGGGGTGTGCCGAATTGGGTGGGTGTGGGTGGCGCATGTGAGCGCCGCCACTGGGGCCTCCCGTGGATGATGGGGCCACGAAACTTGTGAGGGATGTGCCGAAATGGATGTGCGGGACGCATGCGCATGTGAGCGCCGCCGCTGGGGCCTTCGGTGGAGCTCCCTATGGGGCCACGAAACGCGTGAGGGGTGTGCCGAATTGGGTGTGCGAGACGCATGCGGGCACACCCACTGGGGCCTTCGGTGGAGCTCCCTATGGGGCCACGAAACGTGTGAGGGGTGTGCCGAAATGGGTGTGCGGGACGCATGCGGGCGGCAGCACTGGGGCCTTCGGTGGAGCTCCCTATGGGGCCACGAAACGTGGGAGGGGTGTGCCGAATTGGGTGTGGGTGACGCATGCGGGCGGCAGCACTGGGGCCTTCGGTGGGGCTCCCTATGGGGCCACGAAACGTGTGAGGGGTGTGCCGAATTGGGTGTGCGTGACGCATGCGGGCGGCAGCACTGGGGCCTTCGGTGGGGCTCCCTATGGGGCCACGAAACGTGTGAGGGGTGTGCCGAAAACGCATGCGGGCGGCAGCACTGGGGCCTTGCCACGAAACGTGTGAGGGGTGTGCCGAATTGGGTGTGCGTGACGCATGCGGGCGGCAGCACTGGGGCCTTCGGTGGGGCTCCCTATGGGGCCACGAAAACCAAAACGTTTGTGTGGGTGTGCGTGACGCATGCGGGCGGCAGCACTGGGGCCTTCGGTGGGGCTCCCTATGGGGCCACGAAACGTGTGAGGGGTGTGCCGAATTGGGTGTGCGTGACGCATGCGGGCGGCAGCACTGGGGCCTTCGGTGGGGCTCCCTATGGGGCCACGAAACGTGTGAGGGGTGTGCCGAATTGGGTGTGCGTGACGCATGCGGGCGGCAGCACTGGGGCCTTCGGTGGGGCTCCCTATGGGGCCACGAAACGTGTGAGGGGTGTGCCGAATTGGGTGTGCGTGACGCATGCGGGCGGCAGCACTGGGGCCTTCGGTGGGGCTCCCTATGGGGCCACGAAACGTGTGAGGGGTGTGCCGAATTGGGTGTGCGGGACGCATGCGGGCGGCAGCACTGGGGCCTTCGGTGGGGCTCCCTATGGGGCCACGAAACGTGTGAGGGGTGTGCCGAATTGGGTGTGCGTGACGCATGCGGGCGGCAGCACTGGGGCCTTCGGTGGGGCTCCCTATGGGGCCACGAAACGCTGTACTGGGTGTGCGGGACGCATGCGGACAGTGGAGAGGAGGAGGGGGCAGAGGAGGAGGGGAGAACGCGGGGACCGTTTCTTCAAAACGAGGACCCACATAACACTAGGCCTCCGAGATGGGGTCCGAGCAGCTAGGGTCGGAGGATCGCGCCGCGTCGCCGATGCATCGGCGATGCGGCTCGATGTGGAGCTTGATTTTCTCCGAGCTGGCGGCGCCGATGGCGTCGCACGGGTCGCCGATGCATCGCCGGCGCGCCAGCCGACGGGGCCCCACGGGGGTCTGGGGCAACGTTTGGGGAGTTCGATGAAGTCAGGCCTGTCCCTCTACAGGGGGAATATTCAAAAATACAACCAATAGTTTTGGGACGATTCTTTGACCATTTTTGAATTTTGTTTGATGTGTTTTGATGGTATTTTCAATTTTTCACCCAAAGCCCGCGTGTAGGGGGACATGCCCGACCTAAGAGTTTGAGCTTCGAGGTTTTCGGACGTGTCTGTCGGTTCGCGGCGGTGTTCCAGCCTCGGGGTGCCTTCCCGCGTTTGCGCCTCGCCGAGGGCGTTCCGCAGTCGTCCAGATCGTCCCGAATGGCTGCCAGAGGCTTGAATTTTATGGCCCGAAGATTGGACGACGAGGATCATTGGGGGGAGGATGGGCTGCAGTGGGGGATGGCGATGTGGGGGATGCAGTGACCTCCACATCGCCCAGACCTCTGTACCCCCGATAAGGGGCCCGACCGATAGCTCAACCCGCAGGGGTAACTCGGGTCAGGGCTAACTCGGGTTCGCTTTTCGGGATTCCGAACCCGAGTTACCCCGGGCCCGAGTTACCCCGGATAACTCGGGCGTCCAGAGCCCCAAATCATCAGGGGTAACTCGGGTCAGGGCTAACTCGGGTTCGCTTCTCAGGATTTCGAACCCGAGTTACCCCGGGCCCGAGTTACCCCGGATAACTCGGTCGCCCAATATTCATACATATATATATATATATATATCAGGGGAGAGGTGTAGCACCGGTAGTGCTGCCTCTGCATCGTTTTCGCCTGCTTGGGCCTCCTGGGAGGCCCTCGTCGCCACGGCCGGCTTCGCCTCGAGCGCAGCCGGGGAGAGGTCCGGGAGCGGGCAGCGAGGGCCGCGCATGCCACGGGCAGGCAAGTCCATGTCCTGGAGCTGGCTGCGGGGCCGACGGGGCTGGCACAGCACGGCTTCGGGCCAGCAGAAAAGGGGGGTGGACAAAGGAGCCCTCTCCTCGCCACGAGGAGATGCAGCTCGATGTTTTTGTCGGCTTCGACCCCAGGAGGGGTCGGGGGACAGATTTTGAGCGGATTTGCCTTTGTCCCCCCTTCCCCTCTTGACCGATTTCTTCGAGCCCAATCGGCGCAGACGCCCCAGCCGCTTCTAATCCTTTCCATACCTTCTCTGTCTGGATGCCGAGGCGCGATGCTCCCGCGCGGGACTTCCCGCCAAAACGAAACAAATATTGTTCTGGGAGTTGAGCCGGAGGTGGAACTGGAAGGTAAATGGCATCGGAATTGGAAAGGCGCCGGAACTAGGAATCTTGGCAGACCGACAACAGGGGAAACATTGCCTTGTCGTTTCCAAGACCCGTTAAGGTCCAGACCACGAGACCGTGGATAATGGTGAACCTGTTTTCTCACCCACGAGCGTGTGTAGGGAAATTTGCACAGAATGTCTCGGCCCCAGCCCCTCCCACTATTTCGATTTTTCGGGCCGTGAATGTTGTGTTATGTTTTGGCGTCATTCCGCGAGTTCGGCCTCCAGGGCCAGCTGTCGCAGCGGGGGCGTTCAACAGTGGATCCGGGACGAAAAGTTACACCTGAGGAGCGGGTCGGGTCTTTTGGGGCCGCGCAGTGAAAAACAATCGTCGAATGTCTGGGCTTCAGTCCTTGCCAGGTTCCCTTGCCAGGTTCCCTCCAGTTGCTTCCAGTCCTGGCGACCCCTGGCGACACCGTCCCAGCTGTTTCGAACTCGATTCAGCCCTTTCAAGTTTCCTCAAGCCCTGGCCATTTCCACTTTCGCGGATTTTGCAGTTTCCATTATTCCAGCTGTGTACCAGGAAAGTAAGGGCACACAACAGTAAACTCTTGGCATGACGGTGAAAATTTGGCCATGCCCTCTCTGCTTCGATGTGCCTACCCTTGGCGCGGCCCTACATTCTGCCCGAGCAGCGGTTCCTGCAGCCACGCTTCAGGGGGTGGAGCGTGCCTGGAGGACCCGCGGCCGACGATCGCAGGGCTCCCCCACTCTTTTTCCCACTGCGTCGCCCCCGCCTGGGCCTGGCCAGGCATCGCCCCAGAGGCCGTCTGGAGAGGGGCCCGAAAACACTTACGTGCACAGCATGTTAGCCAAACGAGAACTACGAACAGCTTGCATGGCCATCACCCAGGAAGAGTATGTAGGCCCCAGAATGTGACACATTCTGTGCCTGGCCCCGCCCCCCCGCCCAAGCGAACGCATGGACTGTGCACCCCCTGGAAGCGACGGGCGAGGCGTCGGTGAACGAGGCGGCGATTTTCGGATCAAGCCGTCTGGGGATTAACCAAACGAAGGGGCACCGAGCAAGAGCATGTAAAAAGTGTTGTGTGCTCCGCTTCTTGATGTAGATGAGCGTTCCTGGCCACAGCCCCTGCTGGGCCCCGGGTTGCTGCAAGAGCCGCCCTGGCCAGGCCGGGAGGGCGTAAAGCAAAGTTGTTGTCATGAGGACCGCGTTGGGTTCAGGAGGGGTTTTGGTTTTCGAAACGTTCCCCCGATCCAGGGCGGAGAACCTATCGATGACCGAGGCTCGCCGTGGCCGTACGACTCCTCGTTCCGTATTCAGCGTTCTTGATGGCAGAACGATGATTATATGCACTGATCCTGCACTGCCCATCTCCCAACCCTCTTCCTGCTCTCCACTGCGACGTCCCTGCGCAACGTATGACATCGATCGGCCTGCCCTGCATCATCCCTGTGGGGGGGAAGGCGATCGGTCGCACGCTACGCCCGCTGGGGGGGGCTCAGGGGTCAGGCTCCTGGGCGCCCAACGTGTGTGCGCTGCGGGGTGACGCTGCCAACGTGTGTCCTTCGTTCGTCCGTCGTCCGTCGTGCCGCTGGGCTTCTTCGTGCAGGTAAAAAAAGTGTGCGCTACTTGGCATCGCTCGGACGTGTGCATTTTTCCTTCGGCGAGGACCATCGAGGAGCATCCTTGATCATTTGGCGAAAAAACCACGCACGAAACCTAAAAAAACACAGGGAATGGACGTCCGAGCGATGGCGAGGCTCCGGGGTGACGCTGCCATGGGGTGGGCCGTCCAGCCGGCGGGTGGCCCTCCGAGGCCTCGGGCGGAGTGGGGCCGCGGGGGCGGGCGATGTCAGGGCCGGCGGGCCCGGATGGCACGCCAGGGGAGGTCGAGCAGAGCATGCCAGGCTGCGGGGTGGCGGGCGGAGGAGAGCAGACCTGGTGTTGACGGGCGAAGAACGGTACAGAATAAGCATTTTCGCTGTCGGGGGCGCCTGTCCCAGGGCGGCTGGAAAGTTTATACCCCTACGGTGCCACCGCAAGGGTATAAACTTTCCAGCCGCCCTGGGACAGGCGCCCCCGACAGCGAAGAAGTTTAGTTTATACCGTTCTTCGCTCGCTGATGGTGAAGTTTTGGCGGGGCTAAGAGGGGGGTGGCAGCGGTTTGGGTGGGGGACCGGGGGAGCCTTCAAAAGTACGGGATCGTCGGCGGGGGATGTCAGAGTGAGATGGAGCGCTGGTCGGCCAGGAGAGGTTTGCTGGGTAGCTGGGGATGGCCTCTCTTCAGACAGATTTTGGAGTGGATGAGGGCGGAGGATGCCGAGCCGCACGGACACTTAGTGGAGGCCACGAGGGAGGGACAGCGCCCTTGGGCGGACCAAAAGGCCTGCATGCTCGTGGCACTGAACAAGTACGACTCCGCAGACCCAGGACGTCAGTCCATGGGGAAATCGGAGGAGGCCAGGAGGCCAGGAGGGGTGAGTCGGCCACGCGGGAAGGGGTGGGAGGTAATCAGTTTCAAGCCGTACTAGCCAGCGATCCGAAGGCGTCACGGTGGAGGTTTCTTGGGGACTGGTGGCTCCCAGTAACTTCGGGCGGACATCGGGGAGCAGCCCTCGGGAAGCAGAGGGCCGCAAACGGAGTAAGCCAAGCCAGGCGGAGCCCTGGCGGCGGCCAGGACGGGGGTGAGAGCGATTCCGAGCGACAGGCCAGGCGCGCGTGGTCCTCGCAAGGTATCCGTGGTGCGGGCGGAGGGCGGCAGAGCAGGCGAGAGCCTGGTGGAGGCTAGGTGGGGCTGTGACGGGGATATTCCATGCGTAGTGGGCCCTGGAAACGCGGCCGTTTTTTTACCGGTTCCGTTTTGCCGTTTTTTGTTGCCGGTTCCGACGCCGTTTTTTTACTGGTTCCGTCGCCGTTTTTCGACCGGTTCCGGCTCCGGTTCCAATCCTGGAACCTTTTCCACTTTCAAGGGACATTCCATTTTCCGTCGCCGTTCGTTGGCCGTTTCCATTTACAAGGGACACTTTTTCGGAGACGGTGAAAAAACGGCCCTGCCGTTTCCGAGGCCCACAACGGTTCCATGAGATGCCCGCAGCGTGTCGGAGCAGAGGCAGAGCAGAGGGAGGGGGAGGAGGAGGAGGAGGAGGAGGAGGAGGAGGAGGAGGAGGAGGAGGAGGAGGAGTAGGAGGAGCAGAAGGAGGAGAAGGAGGATTAGGAGGAGGAGGAGGAGGGAGGAGGTGGAGCAGGAAAAGTACGGAGGGCCCCCCCGTGCTAACAGCCTTCGTTTCCCGGCAGAGAGAGCGGTGGGAGGCATTCTTCGCGGCGGAGCCGGCTCCCGCGCCGGAGATCCCGCGCGCGCGCGCGCCGCGACCCTTTCGACGACGACGACGACGCCGACCTCGCTGCTTCGAAGGCTTTCTAGCGTGTCTGGAGGCCCCGTTGCTTGGCGATGATGACGATGACGATGACGATGACGTTCGCCGCCGACCTCGCCGTTTCGACGACGGCGGCCGACCTCGCCAGCGCGCCGAACTTCGGTGTGCGAAGGTCCTATCGCTGGGCTGGACGCAGCTCCCCAGGGCTGCCAGGACTAGCCCCAGGCGGGGCCCAGGGAGCAGATTTTCCGTTGGTTTGGGTCGAGAGCAGTGCGGTGTGAGCGGTCGCCTGCGAAGGCACCAGAAACACAGTTTGACGTTGCTGTAGCACGGTTCAGTTTCCGCTCGAATGCATCAAGTGTATTGTTTTGTCATCGCCTTGGGCAATTTGCCAGGGTTTGGGTCCGTGGGACTAGGTATTTGTTGCTATATGTCATCGCGATGATTTGAAAAGGGATCGAGACGCCGTGCGATGCCTTCGGGACATGTTGTATGTTGGTGCCCTCGGGGTATGTTGTGCTGCTTTGTAGTTTGCTTTGCTTGAGGCCGTGTTGGAAGCCTCTTGAGGGCCTCTGGGACGTCCTCTCGGAGCCCGGTTTGGGCGGTTTTGGGGCCTCTTGGGCCGTCCAGGAGGCCTCGTGGGCAATCTTTGATCCCTCCTGCAGCGCCTGGGGGGCCTTCGCACCGTCTTGGGACGAGCTTGGCTGTCTTGAGGTGTTTTTTTGGCTGAGTGGCTCTCTTTGGGAGTTTTTCTTGAGCTGCTCAATGAGTGTTGGGTTGTTTGTTGTTCGCCCCTCGGCCATCGCCTCTCCTCGGCCATAGCCGCTTCCAATGTACAATGGATGTGGGTACGTACGTACGTACGTGTGTATGTATGTGTGTATGTATGTATGCATGCATACCTGCATGTATGTATGTGTGTATGTATGCATGTGTGTACGCATGCATGTATGCATGTTATGTATGTATGTTTGTATGTATGCATGCATGTATGTATGTATGTATGTTTGTTTGTTTGTATGCATAAATGCATGTATGGAGGTATGCATGGTGTGTGTAGACATGCATGGCTGCATGCATGCATGTATGTGTGCATGCATGTCGGTAGGCATGTCTGTATGTATGTGTGTAGGTAGTTTGTGTATGCCTGTAGTCATGTATGCATGCATGTACGTGATGAACGTATGTATGTTTATATGTATGCATGTGTGCGTGTATGCATATATACATATGACTGTATGCATGCATGTACACGGGTGTGGTTGTGTGCATGTATGCATGTATGTATGTGTATGATTGTAGTTCTATATGTACGTGCGCATGTGTGCGCATACATATGTATATACGCGATCGTGTGTGTATACGTATACGTGTACGTATATGTAGGTGGGTCTGTATATGCACATCGTTATGCACATGTGTACGTATATGGTCATGTATATATATATATATACAATCGTATTCATGTGTACGTATGTTCGTGTGTATACGTACGTGTATGTGTGGAGGTGTATGTGCTTGTATAAGCATATGTGTATGTATAGTTAGAAGTATATGCGAGTGCAAATGTATACGTACATGTGTACGCGTATGTTTAGGTATGTGTATGCATATGTAATTTGTTGCATTTGATGTATATGTCTGCATATAGGTATGCATGCATGCATGTATGTATGTATGTATGCATGTATGCATGTATGTATTTAGGCTGGTAGATCGGTGGGTATGTGTGTCCATTCGTACGTCCGTATGCATGTATGCATGTATGTATGTATGCATGCATGTAAATGTGTTTGCACTTGCCTCACAACTGCTCCGACGGTTGGCGATGTTAGGCGCGCGAGGATTAGGCCGGCCTTAGGATTGTGTAAAGCAATTCGACCACGCAGCAACTGCGCTCTTCACTACCGTATTCCATGGTGATATCTATGCGTTGGACGGTTCCAGAGGGGTCCACGTTGAAGAGTATACTCACCTGCGGACGGCAGTTAGATGTACAGTGTTTGCGTCTGCGAGCGGAACTTGGATCATTCGGACATGCACACTCGCGCGCCGTCATTCAGCCCAAACTCCCCTCATTGGAAATCCTTCCTCTTTGGAAAGACGTTGGCCTCTCGGGGGGATTCCTCGGAGGCTCCGCCACTGCATGGCAGCAAAGGCTTAAGGTGCATCCTGACGGGGAGGAACAGGAGCAGCAGCGACCGAGGAGGGCGAGGACAGCACGCCACGCCCGCGCCGCGCGCCGCCGGCAGGAGCCCCCGAAGCCCCCGAAGCCCGCGTTCACCCTCCGTGTGTGCGGCAAGTGCATCGAGCGGAAGGCCGGAGGCGCCACCCGCACGGGTTTCGGGGGCGGAGGAGACTGGGGTGGCACAGCTAGGTGTGTGTGTGTGTGTGTGTTTGTATGTGGGTATGTTCTGGCGTCATTCCAGCCGCAGCGTCAGTCTATCAGAGGAGGAAGAGGGACCCATACCGCTGCCCTTGCCTCACTTTCCCACTTCTGGGCCTCCTGGGAGGCTCTCGTCGCCACCGCTGGGTTCGCATTGGAATTCTGGACAGAGCGCACCCCAGGAGAGGGGTGGTGAGTAGTGGTATCGGTACTTGTTTTGGCTTCCCCGGTTTCTGCACAGGCCTCGCCGAGTTGCTGTGGCTCTTTGCTCTCACCGCGCGCCCTACGCCCCTGCTGCCGGCTGGACGTCGACTCGGCCTTCTCTTGCCTTACGTGGTCGCGCCTGCTCCTCCCACGCGCATGCACGCGACTGCCACGCCCAGTCCATCCAACTGCTAGGCCAGTTCTAAATTCTCCCAAGCGTGCCCTTGCTTGGCGCTTCGCGACGGTGCCGTCACCTGCGACGCTGGAGGAAAACATGTACTGGGTGCCTAAGCTCACCAGACACTCGTGAGGGGCCACTCACCGGGGCTCAAGAGACGGGGGTCAATGCACACGGGGGTCAGTCAGAGCGCCCGATCTTGCAGGATACTGCAGAGCCTGGGCTGCACTGACCCGGGATCCTGCAGAGCCTGCAGAGCCTGGGATCCTTTGCAGGATCATGCTGGATCCTGCCAAGCCTGGCTGACCCGGGCCTGGATCGACCCAGGTCAGCAGGTCCCCCGAGCCCAGCGTGGGTTTCTGTGCCTCGTGTGCGCCCTTCGGCGCGCAGGCGCACCCGCCGCGCTCTGGCGAGCGCTGCGGCCTCCGCGCCCGCCTGCTGCAGTCTTCCAGGCCTCGGCGGCTCGGCCGCCTCCCTCGCCTGGCCGGCGTGCCCTCTTGCACGGTGCTGCACTTGGCATCGCTCGGACGTGTGCATTTTTCCTTCGGCTGGGACCATCGAGGAGCATCCTTGACCATTTGGCGAAAAAAACACGCACGAAACCGAAAAAAGCACAGGGAATGGACGTCCGAGCGATGGCAGATGCACGTCGGTCGCTGAAAGTAGGTCTCTCTGGGTGCCCAAGCCACCATCTACTTCGGGCGCCTTCCTGCTTCCAGAGTCGAGTGGCTGTCCTCCTCCCCTCCTCTTCAGTCTTCGGGGGGCGGGCGGGGACCCAATCTGCTTCCAACGCCTCCCTATACCTCATGGTTCCACCCGCCTGTTCCGACCGTTTTGCCTCGCACGCGGCCGCCTGGCCACCACCTCTTCTTTGCACTGGACTCGCCCAGCGCGGTCCCAAGTCTCCAACGCCAGGTGGAAACTTACGCTAAACGTGCCCCGCCCGAGCTCTCGCTGGAGTCCGGGGAACAGCAAGTGACACAAACATAAAGAATCGGATGGCGCCGCCCCTGGCGCGCTCCGCGCGCCAGGGAGGGGGGCCCAGCGCCGATCCGAGAAGTCCGCGCGGACCTCCGAGAAATTACGATTATGCCACTTTTGGTTCCCCCCTAGGAGTGACGGCGCCCGGCCGCTGGAGGCACGAGGCGTGCCCGCGCCCTGCTGGGGGAGCGCGGGCCCGCCCCTCACCAGCCTCGAACTTATCCCTATCCCCAAGATTGACACGCTAAAACGAGATGACAATCTTAGGGATACGCCCTCAGAAACTTAGGAAATCCCCAAGATCGCTATCGTGATGAGGCGATGCCCAACAGAGGGATAGGGATATGTTCCCGGCTGGTCAGCCCCCGCCAGGCCTCCCGCTCCGCCTCGCTCGGGGCGCGCGGTGCCGGGAGGCCGCGCGCCCGTCGCGCGGGCACCGCGCGCGGAGACCCACGCCCGTGAGCTTGGCATCGCTCGGACGTGTGCAGTTTTTCCTCTGGCGGGGACCATCGAGGAGCCTCCTGGACCACTTGGCGAGGACCATCGAGGAGCCTCCTGGCGAGGACCATCGAGGTGCATTCTTCCTCTGGCGAGGACCATCGAGGAGCCTCCTGGACCACTTGGCGAAAAAAATCACGCACGAGACCGAAACAAGCACAGGGAATGGACGTCCGAGCGATGCCCAGCCCCCGCCTGGCCTCGCGCGCCGCCTCGCTCGGGGCGCGCGGTGCCGGGAGGCCGCGCGCCCGCCGCGCGGGCACCGCGCGCGGAGGCCCACGCCCCGCGAGGGCCCCTGGCAGCGGAGGGCCTCTCCTCGGGTGCCAGGGGGGTGGCCGCCGCGCCACGCCGGCGCCGGCCATTTGCGCGGCCGCTCGGGCCTTCCCCGCCGGGCCCCCTCGCTGTCTGCTTCCTGTCTTTGTTTTTTATTGCTCGCCGAGCGCGCTCCACTTCGCGCCGCTGGGCCTCCTCCGCGAGCGTCCGCAGAGCACAGGCCTGCTGCGATGCAGCTTCTCTCAGATCCCCCCTGCGGCGCATCCAGGCCATCTGCGAGCAGTCACTCTGCGAGTCGTGGCACGCGCTCGTCTGCCGTTGTCTGCGAGTCGTGGCACGCGCTCGTCTGCCGTTGTCCAGGCTTGCCGCCCGCGGGCCGCCGCGGGCGCCGTGCGTCCTGCCGCCCGCCCCCCTTTGGCTCCTGCGCGGCCCCGCGGCCTGCCGTGCGTCGGGAGAGGAAAAAGCGCACAGACACAAGGGACCCTCGATTCCTGCGAAAGTATTTGGAAATATGGGGCGTGGGGGGGAAGACAGAAACCCTTCAACATGCGAAACTATAGGGGATCCTGTTTCTTAGGGGGCCCCTGCGTGCGGCCCCGCTGCCTGCCGTGCGTCGGGAGAGGCCAAAACACACAGGCACAAGGAGTCCTCGATTCCTCCGAAACTATCTGGAAATATGGGGAGGTGGGGGGGAAGGCAGAAACCCTAAAAGTATGCGACAATATGGGGAGTCCTGTTCATTAGTGTGCATGTATTTGTGTGTCCTGGGGCCCCTGCCGTGTCGCCCCGCCCGCCGCCCCGGCCCGGGCTGTGCCCTGGTGTGCGGCGGCCCTGCCGGGCTCGTCCCTCTCCGCTCCGCTCTGCGCAAGCGGTCGGCGCGCGGCCCGCCCCTGCCTCGGAGGAGGAGAGGGTGCCCAATACCTCTGCCCTGTCCTCGCCCGTGTGTCAGGAGAGGAAAAAGCACACAGACTCAAGGAATCCTCGATTCCTCCGAAGTATGCGAAAATATAGGGAATCCTGTTTATTTGTGTGTATTCATTTGTGTGTCCTCGCTTTCCCCTTTTCCTTGGTATCGTTCGGACGTGTGCACGTTTCCTTCGGCGAGGACCAAGGATCGGGGGAGCGTAAGACCTGGGTTTGCCAGGACTCGGGTTCGCCATCGTTTTTTGACGACCGCGCCTCGGATTTTGACGAGGAGAAGTTTCGTGGGATGTCTGCAGCGGGAGGCCTCGTCAAAATGCAGGCTCGGCCTCGTCATTTTTTTGACGACCTCGTCGGGGATTTCCGAGTCCCCTGTACCCGGGTCTTACGCCCCCCTGAAAGGAGGAGTATCCTCGATCGTTTGGCGGAAAAGCCACGCACGAAACCGAGCCAGAAACACAGGGAATGGACGTCCGGGCGATGGCGAGTTTGGGGCCTCCCGGGGGGCCCTCGGCGCCCCCGCTTGGTGCGCCTCGAAAAATCCTCGTCGGAGCGCACCCCAGGAGAGGTCCGGGGAGTTGCGGTGCAGGTATGCCTTTTGGCTTCCCCCCTGCCGCTCGACCTCTGGGCCCGCCCTTGCTCTGGGGGTGCCCGCTGCTCGCCCCTCCTCCTCCTCCTCCTCCTCCTCCTCCTCCTCCTCCTCCTCCTCCTCCTCCTCCTCCTCCCCCCCCCCCCCAAGGGTGCACCCTGTGCCTCTTGCCTGGGCCTCGTCAGACCTCGGCTGCCCCGTCGGGCGCCTCGGCCCCACTCCTGGGGCCCTCGGGCGGGTGGCTCCGCTCCGTCGCCGTGGCGCGCGGCAGCGATGCCATCTCTGTGGCGTGCCTCCGCCTCCTCCTCGTGGCCGCTACCGCCTCGCCTGACGCTTCTGCCCGCCAGCCCTTCGCGTTCTCCCCGGCTGCGGCCGCCGCCCTGTGTCCACCCCCGCGTGCTCCGCCCCCGCGCTGCTCCAAGAGGCTTCAAATACGATAGGTGCACGTCGTACGACCCTGCCGCAGGCGGGATGCCATCAAGGGGCAGTGTGGGCCCAAGGACAATACCCAACCCCAGGATCACCGAAACTTATGGCACTTTGATTTGTCAGATGGACCCAGCCCCGAAGGGACATCCCACATCAAGGGTGGACGAGCCAATGATCACCGAACATCACCTGGGTCGATGGCAAGGCAGCCTGGTTCCCTCCACGGGTGGGGTGAGCTCAACTTTGATGCGCACTCGTTCCCGATGCTGGTTCGTGCAGTCGTGGCTTCCTTTGCACGTCTTGGAAGTATCCTCGGTTCTGTCTGGGCACCAACCACAGCCCCGCCGCAAACTGGTCCCGAGCGCAGCTGTTTTCCCAAAGTATCCCCCGTCCCAACCAGGCAATCCCCCCTTTGAGCCTTGCAGTCCAAATATCCTTAGTTCCAAGCGCACCCTTTTCATGCAAACATTATTCCTATGTGTAGCCCGGCGCCCCCGTATCACCGTTTCGACTTGTTGGCAGATTCAGGAACTTGACATGTTTCGGGGCGTGCGTGGGAGTTGCTTCGCGGGTGGCGTCGATCGGGAGATCGGGCCCCCCTGGAAGCCTTGGAGTGGCCATAGGGACATCGGCGCCAACGTCGACAAACGAATCCGAAAAGCAACAATGATGAAGCAACGTGCGCCTTATCACACCTATGATTATCCCCCCCCCACGACCCCTGTCTGGCAGGACCCCTTTACACAGCCTCCCGCCGCCGGCGACCCAGAATCGGTCGATGTGGAACGATCTGACGCTTCGGCAATGGCCGTTCACGGTGGAACGATCCCCGCGGTGTCAGCAACCAATGCTGGGGTCGTCACGGCACGAACCTGTCGTATTCATTCGGGGGTCAAGAGACGGGGGTCAATGCAAACGGGGGTCAGTCAGAGCGCCAGATCTTGAAGGACCCTGCAGAGCCAGGGGTGCACTGACCCAGATTTGGGTGCAGGATCCTGCAAAGCCTGACTGACCCTGGTCTGCATTGACCCAGGTCAGTAGATCCCCGACCCATGCGCCGGGACGCAGATTGCGTCGCAGCGCAGGGGGCGGGGATCAGGTGCAACGCCCGGTCTGCACAGGGCGAGAGGTTGCCTCCGCGGGCGGCCATGCTGCTGCCGGCGGCAGCCGTGCGCGCCGGCGGTGGCGTGGAGGCCCCGCCTAGGCCGCCAGACTTCTTAGGTGCACGCTCTATTGACCCGTTCCCTCCCCTCCCTACCCCCTCCGCCGCGGGGCGCTGCTTCGCGTGGTAACAGTATAGATAAATATGTATATATATATATATATATATATGTATACATGTATACCTATGCATGTATGTATATCTATGTGTGTTTGCACGTGTATCTATATATATATATATATACAAACGTGCGTGCGTATGCATATTCATATATATAGTACACCTCTACGTGTAGGTGTAGGTGTAGGTGTAGGCGTAGGTGTAGAAGGCGTAGGTATCGGTGCACGTTTTGTTGTGTGCGTGTTTGTGTGTCTGCTTGTTTGACAACGTTCGGTCGCATTTAGCACCTCCATCTGCTGTTCGCCCTTGAGGACACTCTGCGCCGCCGGCTTAGATTAGTGTCTGTGTGTGTTCCCCATCCCTCGTCTCGCCGTCCTCTGAGCACTCAGGCCTGTCGCACACAGGCCTGCAGGGTTCTCCCCCTTGCGCTGCCGGTCCCTTCGCAACTTGCCTTCATCCACATAGTTCGGCGCAGCTGTTGTGGAGTGCGAATGCGTCCCGCACATGCTGGCTCGCGGAGGCAAAGTTCGGTTTTCTTTCGCCTCTGCTTTCCTGGGTTTTCAGAAGGAGGATAACGAAGGAAGAAGAGAGAGGAGGACAAATCGTTGCCAGCAGGCGCATTGTGAGCCCTGGGGTCCAAGGAAGTCCTGGCCCGCTCCCCGCGGCCAGCTTGTCATCCTGAATCGTTGCTTGAGGGGGGGGGGGCGCCGCGAGGCCATCAGCGGCGACGGCGAGGAAAGCATGCTGCGTCAAGTCATTCGCTCCCTTTCGCGGAGGTCTAGGTCCTGGGAGCAGCCCCTCTTTGAGACTCCCGCAGGTTCGCTTGCACGGACAGGGGGCCGCCAGAGCAGCGAACGTCAGGAGAGGAAAAAACACAGACACAATGAATCGTCGATTCCCAAGACAATATTGGAAAATATGGGAAGTGGGGGGGAAGACGAAAAGCCAGAAAGTATACGAGAATATGGGAATCTGTTTATTTGTGTGTATGAATTTGTGTGTTCCAGGGCCCCTTCAGAAGGACAGCGTGGCGTGGGCGGGCGGGGCGACGGGGGCAGCGTGCTCGTCGGCGGCGCCGGCATCCGTGCGCAAGCTGCACGCGTGAGCTCGCGCGCCAGCGCCCTCGCCTCCGGCGTGGCGTGCCGCGCTGGCGGCCCGCGCGATCCGCCGCGCAGGGTCGCTACGTCATCTCGCGTGCGACTCCTTTCCGTCGCCCATTTCTCAGAGCGTGACCTACCCCGCTTTCGCTTCCAGGCAAAACCAAGTCATGCCACGCGCCTCCTCGCCAAGCGGCCTGACCAGTACAGGCCGTATATTGGCATCGCTTGGCATCTCTTGGAAGCGAGGGTGGTCAAAAGCGAGGTAGGTCCCCTAATTTCAGAGACCTCTGGCGCCCTCCCCCCCCCGCAGGGGGCTGCAACCCTGGCGTGCCGCGCTGGCGGCCTGCGCAGTCCGCCGCGCAGGGTCGCTTGGATCGTCGCCCCCTTTGCACGCCGTTTCGGCCGAAGCAGTGACTTGGCATCGCTCGGACGTGTGCATTTTTCCTCTGGCGAGGACCATTGAGGAGCATCCTGGATCACTTGGCGAAAAAAGCCACGCACGAAACCGAAAAAAACACAGGGAATGGACGTCCGAGCGATAGGGGGTGGATCGTCGCCCCCTTGCACGCCGTTTCGGCCGAAGCAGAGAAGGAGAAGGCGGCGTGGGCAGGTGGGGCGGGGGGGCAACATGCCACGCAAGCGCACTGGTCTCGGGAGGGGAAAAAAACACAGACACAATTAATCGTCGATTCCCCAGAAAATATTGGAAAATATGGGAAGTGGGGGGGAAGACAAAAACCCAGAACATATCGGAAAATATGGTGACTATTTTTATTTGTGTGTCCTGGGGCCCCTTCATGGTCAGAGTCCAACTCAAAGCTTCCCGGGGTACCGCGATCCTCGAACCTCGAGGAGCCTCTCACTCCAGAATCCTCTCCAGATTCAGTCCTCGGGCTCCTCCCGGGGCCCGTCCTGGCAAGGTGTTCGGGCCGCGGCCCGACGTGGCGACGAGAGTGTCCAGGAACTTTTCCTAGGCCAACCGAAGCCACGACGCTCTATTGCTGACATCCGCAAATCTTGGGGCCTTCTTCCTCCCCTTGCCTCGAGCCTCCCAGGTGGGGTCCGAGCAGAGGGGGGCGGCGTGTCGCGCTGTGTCGCCGATGTACCGTCGGGGCGCTGCAGAAGGAACCCTTTTCGTTGGGGAGGGGCTCGGTGTTCCTTGAGTGTTTTACAGCTTGCCTCAGGTCTTCCTGAGGTTTTCCATGGGACATCGATGTTCAACTTATGAAACAAATGGGCCTCGTTCCTTATTTAGGGTTCCTTAGGTCAACGCCCCGACTGTACCGGCGATGCGGCTCGATCCGGTGCCCGAGTTTCGAGCAACGCAAACAAAAGGGGGTCGTCTGCGCCGACATTGGCGCGTGAGCTGCCCGTGTAAGGTCGCGCGTCAGCGCCCCAGTTTCAAGCGTGGCGTGCCGCGCTGGAGGCCCGCGCAGGCCGCCGCGTAAGGTCGCTATGCCATCTCGCGCAAGGCACCCTTCGGCATCGCGCAAAAGGGGGCAGGGGGAGGGGGAAAGGCTTCTTGGAAGCACCCCTGAGTCTTAGAGGGCGCGGGCCTTCTCTATAGACGAGGCCGAGGCCTTCTAAGAAGCAGGGTGCTTCTAAGAAGCCTTCCCCCCTCCCCCTAGCCCCCTGTTGCGCGCCGCCAAACAACCCTTTCCGTCGCTCCTTCAGGAGACCTCTGGCGCCCTGCCCCCCCCCCCCCCCCCTGACCTTCTAAGAGGGCAAACAAAATAGCACGCGACTTAAAACCCGCTCCCAAAGCTATTCTACGTCTTGGTTTTAGGCTGTTTCGCTCAGTCTTTGAGGTTTTTAAGCCTCCAGTGCTAAAAAATAGCTCTCTGGAAGGTCAGGGTCTGGCGCCCTGCCCCCCCCCCCCCGCAGGGGGCTACAACCCTGGCGTGGTGCTCCGGGAGATGCAGGCCGGCGCCCAGTCCGCGGGCTGGCCCGCGCCGGAGGCGCCGGGCCCGCCGCGGCGGGGGAGGGGTCAAACAGGGCTTGGATCGGGATAAATCGCTCCAGAGCGTTCCGGAGTGCTCTCAGAGCGTTCCAGAACGCTCTGGAGCGGCCGCGGCGCCCAATACATCCTCCAAACCCTCCGACTCTCAGAGATTCTGAGATATCCCGATCCGATTTTGTCCCGATCTTCGCGTCGTTTTAGGGCCAGCCGCTTCCCCCGGGACGATCTAGGCAGCCAGCATCGCGGCTCGCGTCGGGGAGCCTCCACACGGGGAGCGAGGCTCGAGGTTTTTTGGGGCGCGCTCGCGGGTGCTCGGCGCTCTTCCGACGTCGGGGTGCGCGTCAGCGGCTGCGCCTCGCCGAAGGCGGAGGAGGAGGGTGGAGGGGGAGGAGATGGAGGAGGAGGAGGAGGAGGAGGAGGAGGAGGAGGAGGAGGAGGAGGAGGAGGGTGGAGGTGTCCGGATCGTCCCGAGCGGCCGCCGGAGAGCCGAGCTCTGGCCCGAGAGCCACGGGGGCAACGTTCGGGTGGATGGGCTCGGGGAGGGAAGCAGCCGACCCCCCCGGGCATCGGCAGCGATCGAGGCTCGGGCAACGATTCCCGAGGTTCCTCGCAGGCGATGTGTCTCCCCCAATCTCCGAGGTTTACGCTGCAGTTTCCCAGGGAGCGCAGGACCTGGACTGAGGCGCGTGGATCTGCGACGGGTCCCGCTTCCGTGTCGAACCGGCGCTCGCGATGCCGCACCCGGGTCTCGCCGGGGCGCGCGTGCGGACCTCGCCTCTGCCACGCTGCGGCGAAGCAGCAATTTCAATCGGCGCAGTCCGTCGCCACATCAGGCGGCATTGGCGCCATGTTCCGGGGGGTACGTCCCCAGATCCGCGGGGATCGACGGGGGGGGTGCCGCTCCCCCCAGAGCGTCGGCGGCGACTGAGGCATCCCGCATCGAGTTTCGAGCCTCATCTCAGGAGGGAGCGAGTTACCAGTGCCGCTGCTCGTCCTGGAGAGATCTCGTCGCCACGGCTAGATTCTCCCCGACATTCGGATCAGGGTGCACCCTCTTGAGAGGGGTGGGGAGTGCGGGTATCGGTATTTTGGTTCCCCCAAGGCGAGGTTCGAGGTTCGAGCTTCGAGTCGGGGGGTCGCCGTTCCCTGGGGCGTGGGGAGTAGGGGTATCGGTATTTTGGTTCCCCCAAGGCGAGGTTCGAGAATCGAGCATCGAGTCGGGGGGTTGCCGTTCCCCGGGGCGTCGGCGGCGATCGAGGCGTGAGCATCGACGACCGAGGTTATTCACAATCGACGTTTCTTGCAGGAGGGGAAAAAAAAACACAGACACAATGAATCGTCGATTCCCCAGAAAATGCGGGAAAATATGGGAAGTGGGGTGGAAGACAAAAACCCTGAACATATACGAAAATATGGGGAATCCTTTAATTTGTGTGTATGTATTTGTGTGTCCTGGGGCCCCTTCATTCTTCTTCCACGCTGCGGAAAGAGCATCCCATGCCATACCAAAAGGGGCCCGCGCAGAGGGGATCGGAGGGTCGCGCCGCGTCGCCGATGCGTCTGCGGTGCGGGGCAATGTGGAGCCCGATATGTTTGTTCCTCCGCGCCGAGGGCCCCAGTGCATCGCCCACATCGCCGACGCATCGGCGGCTGTGCATCGGCGATAGATCGTCGATGCGGTTCGAGCCAGGGAGGGCCTCGGCAGTCCTGCAGACGGCTGTCCTTTTTCCTGGCGCCTCGCGCACGTCCGTCGCGGGATCGGCACATATTCGACCCGGATACGACGCGCAGTTTGAGCGCATTCGACGCGGATTCGAATTTGACCAGTTCTAGGCGGACTGGACGCGGGCGGCCGCGCGACAGGACAGAAAAGGTCCCCCCAAAGGTGCAGCACGACGAAACTCCTCGAAGGCGAGTTCTCTCCTCCGATTCCTGAGCCTCTTCCAAAACATCACGCCGCTCAGAAACAAACATTGGGACTCGGGGACCCCCCCCCTCGCCTCTTCAATGCATCTTCTGCGTCACCCCAACATTGTGGGCGTCGCACCGTCGCACCCCTAGGGGCGACGCGCGCCGAGAAATCTGGGACTACAAGCTCCGTGGCGGACGTGTTCTAGCCATACCGCTGGGGAAACGACACACTACACGGTGGTCATTCTGCATGATCGGGTCGGTCACACGCCTCCGAGGAGGACCCACAGAACTATATACAGTGCCGTTTTTTTTGTACAAGTTCCGCGTGCGGATCATGAATTAAACATGCAGGGACTTAGTAAGAAAAACAACGACGAGTTCGTGCATACATGTATTCATACATTACCCATGTATTAACAGCCTATATGCTTAAATATTCTATGTATTAAAAACTGCCCTGTATGTCCTTGCGCGCCCCATCTCACGATGGCTCTCGGGGGCCTCATGGGAGGTCTCTTACGATCACCCTGGCTGCTCCGTGGGGACCCCGTGGGTGCTCCTGGCGCTTCCTGGGAGGTCCTCGGTCCTCGGGGGTCCTCTTGGCGAGAACACTCGGAGCGGGCAGGACTTCAGCCATACCCAGCAACCCAGTGCATCCTCCTCCTTCTCCTCCTCCTCCTCCTTCTCCTCCTTCCATTCACATTCTCGTTTTCTTGCTGCGTCTCTGTGCTGACATGGGCGGCAGAGGTGGCAAGAAGGGTGGCAAGAAAGGTTTCGACAGCAGCGCACGGCGATTGTTGGCCAGGTGTCCTTCCTGTTCACTCTGCGAGTACAACGATATTTTGGTTACTCGCAATGCGACCTGTGCGTGTGGCACGTGGCTCACACTCCATCGGGAATCTGTCGGCAAGAAGAACAAGAACAACGGCGGCAAGGGGGTAGACAACACTCTCCAGCTAGCGCCGTTGGCCAGCAGGAGCACCCCAGGCGACGCCGCCGCCTCGAAGGTGCACGTCCTGGCCGCCATCACCGGAGCCGACGACGGGCCTCTCCGTGCAACCCTGTTAGCGCATGTGTCAAAGTTGGAGGACCAGGGTAGCAGAGCTGAGAGCGACGTCGATCCTGAGGATGCGGTCAAGAGGGCCACTGGAGCTGTTCGGGATGCCACTCTGAAGCATGAGCAATCAGCGCAGGCCCCCGTCAAAGCCAGATCCAATCTCGTTCGTGCTGAGGAGCGGGAGAAGGAGACTGCCATCAACTTGGCGAGGGCCGAGAAGCAGAAGAAGTTGGCGGTGCAGGCACTTGCGGCGCGCGTGGGGGTGACGGGCGTTACGCAGTCCTCCGACGCAAGGGAAGGCATCTGCGAGCTCAAGTTCGACGAAGCTTTCTTCTCGAACCTCGAGCAGATCGAGGGTATCTCCGAGAAGGAGACTCAGGAGCTGCGCGAGGTTGAGGCCAAGCTCCGCGAAGTCAAGCAGCAGGTCGAGCCGAAGGGCTCGGACGTGCAGACATGGCCCGGGAAGAAGAAGAGCATTCCAGATCAGGTTCGGGAGCGCCTCCTGAAGAAGAGGAAGGCCAATGATGGACAAGCCGAGCCTAGCGGTGTACCTGACCCTGGTGCGGGCTCAGGGGGCCCTGCGGCAGCAGCGGCGACGGCGCCAACACCAGAGGAGGAGGCCGCCGCAGAGGATGAGACCAAGGAGCAGGCGGAACGCATCAGCCAGGCCAAGATCGCAGCAGCCGAGAAGGCAACGCAGGCCACGGCTGAGTCCCGCGCCGCAGCAGCCGCGGGAGGTGGCTCCCAGGCCTCGCGAGGCCACGAGGGCGTCGGCGCGGCCCTCTCGGCGCCGACGCGTTCCTCAGAGGGGCCACTCCCACCCAGCGCCGAGGGCGCTTCGGGACGGACGGCCGAGTCGCCGCCTGCTGGAGCTGGAGCCGCGGTCCAGGACATCGGCCATAGCGACGACATCGGGGACGCTGTAGGCAGTGGCAGTCCATTTCGAATATTCTACAGTAGTATCACTACTTTAGGGCCCAAGGCTCTCAAGTTTTTCCACGAGCATGTCTCTCAGTTCCAGGTCTGGGGGTTTGCCGAAACTCATGTCGATCAGGCCTCCCAGGCCAAGTGGGCCAAGGAGGCTCGTGCTCTTTCCCATCGGTCGTTTTTCAACCCTGCTCGCCCCTCGGGCAAAGAGATGTCTGAATCACAGGTTTCAAAAGCTAATGAGGGCGGCGAGGCTTTTTTCGTGGAAGGGCACCGTCAGGCGCAGTACGCTGGATCTGCGCAGACTTGCCCCGTCCTCGCCGCCCCCTCTTGCAGCGCTCTGGATGGGTTCCTCCCCATCACTCTTCACATGAAAGGGTATTCGATTGTTCTTGTTTTGTACTATGGGCCCCAGAAGTCCCAGGGGGGGTGTGGCGACGACGCTAGGAGGCTCACACGTCTAGGGGCCTTTTTGGCTGCGCTCGCCTTCCCCTGGATTGTCTTGGGGGATTTCAATCTTTTCCCCTACGGAGCTCAATAAGTCTCGTTTCTTAGACTCCCTCGATGCGGTAGCAATGACTGCCGACGTGGAGTCCACATGCGTTACAGGCACGGGCGGCAGTCACATAGATTATCTTGTCGTCAGTAATGCTGCTCGTTGTTATATCCAGTCGGTACAGGCCAAGCTAGACGTGCCATGGGGCACGCATTGCGAATTGATTGTTTCTCTTGCCAGCACCAGTCGCCTTCTGTTGGCTCGATCTCTGCAGTTATCATCCAAGCTTCCCCAAGTTGCCAGGTCAGGGCCCCTGCCTCAGCCTGGCAGCAAGTCTAGCAAGTCCAAGCAGGCTAGGATGGAATCCAAGCAGAAGGCCGTCGAAGTGTTTCGTAAAGCTCGTGGCGAGTTCTTTGGAGACCTGCTCAGTCAACAGCCGGAGGTCACTCATCAGGCTGGCGCATCCACAGTATCGGGTCAATTTGGCCCCTTCGAACTTAGTCCTGCTCTTCGGCGCAGAGGATGAAGATTCTTTCGATTGCGGCCAGGATGAGCAGATAGATGAGCGGAGCATGAGCGACCCCCCAGCGTTTTCCCCCCCGCG